TTGGATAGAGTGCCGAAATGTGACCCGAAAAGGGGACTCAAAAGGCCTTGAAAAAAATTTTTTTTAATTGATGTTTTTTCTCATTACACAGGAAAAAAACACAAATTAAAAAAAAAAATTTTCTTCTTGTTTTTATTGAAAAATATATATTTAAAAAATACAACCCGAGGAACTTACGTTTCAATCATCTCGACACAGGTGTGTTGATTAATTGAAAAAAATATATTGAATATTTTCCGTGGCCGGATGTTAGCTACAATAATTGTTAAAAAGTGTAATTTTAAAAAATTTGAAAAATTAAACTAAAACAAACAATAGACGACTGGACTTGTCCATTTACCATTTCTAACGTATATACCGTAGAAAATAATCACTTTTAATTGCGGACAAATTATCAATTTTTCTATTCTCAATCAATCAACATTATGATTCGTTGAAAAAATGGGAAATTTTGCTACATTGTTGAAAAACATCGATGTTTGAAAACAAGAATTGATAATAGATTAATCGGCCGTTAAAAACATCCATGTGCGGGCATAAAAAATCAAGATTTTCGATTAATCGACAAACATCGCCCTTCTTTGGCTTGAGACACCCAAAAAATTGAATCGCATCGTTTGTTTGAGAGAAATCGTAGCACAAAAGTACAGACCTGTCTCTAAAAAGTATCGGGAGAATTTCAAAGGGTCACACGTGAAAAAATCATGAAATTTACACAATAATTTTCGGGATCATTACGGTAAGCTCCTCCCCTCGGGTCGGGAAGTTGAAAAGACTACTAATGCAAACTAATACTACTAATGCAAAAAGTAACGGCCTCATGCCTTCTGTCGGATAGGCTCGAACCCGAAGGCTGTGTGTTTATTCGGATATCGTTTTGTCTATTGTGTCGACAAATGTTATTGTTTCACATTATTCTCATTTATTTTATCATTAAACTACTAATCTACGTGGGAAGTGAGAAAAGTGGCAGAAAATGGGTTCAGGTGGGTGGCAGGAACAGCAAGTGATGCCTATGAGCATGACAGAATCTCGGGCTTCATGTGATTTGATTTTTTTTCAATGCCTGATTTTCATGAATTCTTTGATTTTGAAGTTTAGAAATTCAGGCGACGCTGCTGATTTTGACCCTTATCTGTATCCCTGATGATGAGATGAATTATTGTCTCCACCTCTTTAATTTGATTATTTTTCTATAAGTTCATATGGGCTCATATGGAGATTGCATGGCTGTTAAATTCTTTAAAAAAATAAAAAGAGTATCCTATTCTATGTAAATAAATGGAAAAATGAATGGATGAGTTTCAAGACAAAAGGCGTTGGTTGGAGCCTTTTATGAATAATACAAATCTCAAGTTTTCAGAGGAGGTCAATCAAATCGAATCTAATCGAGTTTTCTGCAATTTTTTGGCAGTTTTCAATAATCTTTGAATTTACCGTAAGGGTAGAGCTACTTAAAGCCCCATGGAGTAGGACTAATCTAGTATTAAAAAAAAATTAATCGCTTTATCGAACAATCCACATCCCTCGGAGATAATCGATACCCAAGGGCCAACTATTATCATTCAATAGGGCATTTAGACGCTGCACTGAGAGAAAAATATAATTCTTCTCACTATATTCCATCACCATCGAATTATAGTCAAAAAGTCCTCAACAATTTTTCATGGGTTACGGTAACTATGGCCGGAGAAGTAATTACTACAATGGAATGTAGTCATTGCAACTATTTTATAGTTCTCCTCACGATAGATTTGTCGTGGTTACTTTTGAACTTTGGTTAGTTTAACTGCATTTTGATTTGCAAAAATTACGCTTGTGAAGTTACTATAACGTTATGTGCCGCATACAAAAAAAATCGTATCGTTCATCAAAATGCCTCAACTATTTTCTTATTGTAAATCAAACTTCAGATTTTTCTCTCAGTGTGAAAATATTCAGTTGATTGAAGGACGAGTGGAAGAAAGCCGCTCGATCAGTTAAACTTCTCATCGGATCAATCCGTTTAATAGAGCACAGTAGACCAAATCCGTGACGTCATTCAACTGGAGGATGTGATGCACATATATATGTATATATATATAGAGTCGCGGGACTGACGGTGGCTCGTAATCGGGTCAGAGGTACTCGGAGGTCGATGACCCATTGCTCTCAGGGTTGGCTTTTGCCAACACCACCCCCTACCGCCGCCCCAGTCCTCCGCCAACCTTGTCGGATCCTGAATGGGGCCGAGCGGTGCACAGCAGCATTCCACAAAAATCAACCACAATAACGAGTATAATGACAGACAAATAACGGAGAAAAGTTCTCTTTTAACCGTATCGATCCATGTGAAGGTGAACGCTTATTTGGAAATTGGAATAGTGTGGCTTCAATTGGATATCGGCTTAATTATTTTCCATTCTTTACAAATTATCGAATTCGAGTCGCACACTACGCTTGGGGACAGAAGGGCCCCACACGTATGACAAATCGTATAGAAATTTTCTATTTCGGATTGCGCATAGGATTTTCGTATATGATATTCGAATATTTCTATACGGATATTGTTTATACAAATTATTTCTATGCGATTTCTATAGGTTTGATTCTATACGATCCACTGCCACATGTATAGAAACATTCACGCAGAGAAATTTTCTAGAAAACTTCTAGTGCTGTTAAGGTATAATTTCTTGGTATTTCTACTGTAATTTTTTGTTCACAGTAATTGTAAAAAAAGAGAAATTCATTTCTTACTATAATAAAAAAGTATATATAAGATAGCACATATATATTTAGTATATAATACATCGCTAAAAATGAAAAAGAACGCAAAAAGCAAAATAGAAATGACGAAGAAGATGAAGAGGATTATAACGATTGCGAATAAATTATTCAATAATTAACTTCTCATTGTGAAAAACTTCGTTGAATCCATTCATTTTTCCTGCATTATTATTGAGATAAAAATTAATGAAAGTGAGAAACGATAAGGTTTTACTATTCTGGCACGTATGGAAAACAATACGCGCGCCCTATTCTAATTACATAAAATGAAATGAAAAATGGCATTTTATTCTCAAAATATGAAAAATCTAATTAGAATAAAAAGGGGAGGGGAAAGGACAGGCAACTACAAATTCAATGAACTCATTGTCTACACGTATATCATGAAAAACGTTTATTAGAACGTAGATTATGTCTACATAGAGTTGGCATACAAAACATTCTCATTCCAGTGAAGTGTTAATTTCATTCGCATTTTCATCGTCTCACGTTCTTGAATTTCGTTTTTTCCCATGATTTGATGGTCTTTACATCTCTTACAACTATAACATCAGTCACACGGTGGTGGGGAGAAGAAGGGGGGAGGGGGAGAGTATCTACAAGGCACTAGAGTGGATATCGCACCGGTCCTTCTTCTCCGAAAAAGATTAATCGTAATTGATTCGAATTAATTGTAATTGTTTACGGAAAAATTATTTCGTCGCTGGATCAATCAATCATTACTCTTATATTTCTCCTTTAAACGTAATTGGAATGATTAATTCACGGTCTAATCGTAGGAATGGTCTATTTCATTTTTTTGGACTTCACCTTATTCATCTTCTTGCTTTAAAGGCTCTAATGGTTTCCCCGACTCGATCGAATTTCAATGAGTTTATCATTGTTAAATAGTGTCTCGGGAGAAAATGATATTTTACCCTTTCAATGTGACAATTAAATTTCATCGTAATTGACTTGATCATAGATACGCTCGTCCCTCAATTGATCTTGTCATCGTGATGGGAGACATGATATGACACGTTGCTTATTCAATAATACAATTTAAGCAATTCTTAAACTCCTTCATTGGGATTTAAATTGTTATTCAGTACAAATAATTGTTTTTTCAGTGAATATCGTTAATCATCGTTTACGTGTGTGCATCGTTAAATTGAAATAAAAAACGAGGAAATTCAATCTCATCTACACTTCGGTTTTCTCATTCTAACTTATTTCATCGTCGTTCATATAAAAGTGAGCAATTATTTAATTTTCATCGATTTAATTACAGCCACAGTTGAGGCCTTAGAAAATTTTAATTGAATACGATTTTTAAGCTCCTGCGTTACCTTAAGTACTTGCATCGAAAGAGTCGGGAATATTTTTATCGATTATATCAATTCAACTGTGTAAAAAGTAGGACAATCTTATCCCTACGATTACCTATCGTCTTCATTCCTCATCAATTTCAAATAGTCTCGTGTTGACATTCATTGATAATTACTCAAGTTTATTCTTAATAATACCGCGAGATTCAGCAGAAGTTCCTACGAGGTCAATGACACCAGATCCAATGCGTTGGAAACGATTTTTCGTGATTTTATCACTCAACAATTGTGAACAATTCTGTTCTGGGGTCGCGTCATTGCGATTCTAATTCTAGTTTCAGTCATTCGTTAAAATCCCAACGAAGAACAAAAGTAATTCAATTTAATCTCACAAAGTAATCTATATTGAAAAATAAGCTATCAGACTTCTGTTACCTTTGACCACAAAATAAATATTTTTTTAATAATTATATTTTTTAAATTATTATACTCCTAATTTCATTGAATTAATAATCCCCATTTATCACTCAACAATTGTCACCAACCGTCCAGCTCTCGCCAGTAAGATCTTAATCTTAGTATCATACATTCGTTGAAATCCTAACGAAGAACAAAATCATTTGAAATTAATCTCCCAAGATGATCTGAACTAAAAAATAAACTGTCAGACTTAACTAAAACAATCATCAACCAAATTTGCGCAAATACAGCGACTCATCATGCAGACAATACGACGCCCAACAAAATTGAAAAATCTAGTCGTTCCATTCTGTTACATTTGTAATTTGGCGTATTTTTTAAAATGATTAAACTCCTTATTCCATTTAATTAATAATCCCCATTTATCACTCAACAATTGTAACCAACCTCGAATCATACATTCAACAAAAATCGACTGGTTCTATTCTGTTAAGTTCGGCCACTTCACAACTCCTCCTCAAACCGTCACATTTATCTGCGGTCAATGTTCTTTCTGTACAGCCTCATGTCGTTGCAGGTGCACGGTGAACTATATTGACTAGCATTACGTGGCACTCTTTGCGTCGGCAGTCCGGACAATCCCCTCACATAAGTATAAGAAACCGGCTCCCTCAGGATTCTCTTCGGGCTCTTCTTCGTCAGCTTCTTCTCCTTCCCGTTATTCTCGAAGACCCCAATTTTGAGGCAGTGCAGTGCCCTCGTCAAGATGTCAGTCTTCGAGGTCCTCTTCAACGAGTCGCTGTCCGTGCTCTGCCCATCGGAGGGGCTCAGCGAGTGAGAGGGCGACTCTCTCGAGTGGTTGCGGTTATCACTAGGACTCCACGACCTCGAGGATTTGTTATTCGATCTGCCATTCTGACTGTTGAGGCTCGATCTCGACAAACGCTCCTGCGATCGCATCGTCGATGCCTCATGATTGCGGAAGCGATGGAAGCAGCGACTCCTCGACGAACTTCTCTCGTGATTTCGGGTCTTTGAGAGACGCTCAGCACTCCCGGTCGAACCTCCACTGCTGCAGCCGCTGTCTGTGCTGCACTCGTCCGTTTGATAGAGAGATGAGTCGGTTAGTCTCATCGTGTCGTCCATCTCTCAGCCGATTCGCGAATCGGCTTTATTTATTGAGGTGAATCTCCTGAAGGCGCGTTGATTAACTAGGATCAATGCGATTACTTGTAATTTTGTAAATTACTTGATTGCACTTCAAGTGTCTGATTTTTATTTTTATTTTGCTTGATTGGTTTAATTTGTTTAATTGGTATCAGCACAAATAGTGTTCAAAAAACACTTCGGTTTCTTTGGGCTCAGTTCGGTGTTTGAATTTTATTTCAATCACTGGTTTGAATTGACAGACTGCAGTTGTTAAACTCTCAGTCATCGGTTTCGCACTGAAGTCAAACGGGGTTGTCACTGGTCTTATATCTCCTCGCTGGGGTGCTGGGTATACAGCGTACGCCTGCGCCTCGTTCGTCATACACGTGAGTAGGACTGGTATTCACAACAACCCCCTCTTGGTACTCTTATAGATAGAGGAAATAGATTTTCGAATGTATTGCTGGAATCGTTATTCATTTATGATTAGAGGTGATACATTCGTCTGTTTGCAACGAAGGTTTTAGGAAACACCTGATAAATTTGAAGATCTCGAGGTGTTACTGGGAATAATTTCCTACGGGTAAAAAATAATTCGAGGAGTTAATTTTGTAGAGCAATAAATTCATTGATTTTTCTCTATGCACTGAGAGAAAAAATTTTTTCTGCCGAAAAATTACGTGTTCCACGGGAGAACGTTTGATGGGGTGGAACAGATTTACTTGAGGGGAATTAATCAACTTGGTAGAAAGAAATTTAATGTCTTTCATAAGAATTAAATTTTCGTTGTGATGATGAGAAGTATCCGTGGAAACATTCACGGAAAAAAATATACTTGAATTGAGTATGAAATATACTAGAATCAAGAATAATATGAGGTGTTCCACGCCAAATGAGTCAACCGCTGATCCCCACCCTCTGGGAAATTGATGGCGATTTTTTTACGATTGGGGAGGTTGAAAAACTATATCTCAAATTTTTTCAGATTTTTTCGGCTACCCAGTTCGTAGATGTGATTTTTGTTTCGTTTTTCCGGTTTTTTTCAATAACTTGAGTTCTATCCATCCGATTTTGATTTATTAAGCGTCAAAATTTTTCATTTCCTACTGCCTATAAGAATATTTTTAGTGAAATTTTTTTTTTCGATCTCTAGATGCGCATAATACTGACTTTTCGAATAAAAAAGTTGAAAAACTTGAATTTTGCAAACTACGTCACGGATGATTTGTTTCATTTTTTTCAGTAATTCTTATAATCAAAACAAGTATTTTGAGCCATCATTCAAGTTGGGCATCGTCCTGGATCTATTTTATTTTCAATTTTTTCTTTTCGACATTCCGTAAATTTGGTCGCAACATCTCAAAATGGCGTTGATTGACTTTGATTATAGACAGTACATAATCAAAGTCGTTTTGTGGTGTTTGCACAAAATTTGCGACATTTCCAAAAGAAAAAATGATCCAGGAGGATGCCCAACTTGAATGTCAACCGTGACGTAATTTGCAAAATTCAAGTTTTTCAACTTTTTTTTTGAAAATTCGTTATTATGAGCACCTGGAAATTGAAAAAAAAATTCTAAAAATAGTCGTATAGGCGGTAAAAAATGAAAATTTTAACGCTTAATAACTAAAAATCGGACAAATAGAACTCGAGTTATTGGACAAAAACGGAAAAATGTGAAAAAAATCCCATCATTGAACTGGGCTGCCGAAAAAATCTGAAAAAATTTGATAGTTTTTCAACCTCCCCGATCGTAGAAAAAATCGCCATTCATTTCTAAGGGGGTGAGGGTCAGCGATTGACTCATTTTACGTGGAATACCTCATATACTTGAATCAAGTATATAATATACTCGAATCAAGAATAATATCAATCAATATAATCAAGTATATTTTATACTTGAATCAAGTATATTTTATAGTATAATATAATATAATCAAAAATTGGTAATGGTATATCTTTCCAGGAATCTCGTGTTCATTGTCTGACGATAGGGGAATTAATGACCATTGGGAATTAATGGAACTGTGTTGTGTCCTTGTGATGTATTGTCCTTGTGTTGTTTAGTCATGTAACTAAAATTCAAAAAACTCCCTGATGAAATAATCAAAGGGAGCACACAGGGGCAATAATCTTGATGATCAAATGGAAGAGATGAACGATTTGATCTCAATTTTATCACAATTTTTCCAAAAACTTTCACTCTCACAAAGCAACCTATACGTGCCCCCCAAGTTCGTCAAACTCTGCTGATGCTTCCTACATCGATGATGAAAAAAAGAAATGTGGAAACTTTAAGATGGAAAAATCCAAGATTGACAGAAAAAACGGCACAGAAGATACGTGGATATAATTGTGCAATAAGGCATGAAATAAAAACTGGAATTCTCTCAGGGCTGGGGGCGACTGGACTGGGGATGATGGAGAGGTTCGGTGTGTCAGCTACTCACGTGGGTAATTTATGAAAAACACGAGGGGTCATCGGATTTCATAATTGCGTCATGTATCAGATAAAAAACGAGTACACCTGCGAGGAAATCTGACGCTTCTCGAGTAACTGATGTCGACCTGATGGAGGACAGTTTGTAAATTTGGTTGAGGCATTCCAGTTCACCGACCGCAAGACCTGGGTCAATGCGCTGAGGTGGGAGTCGCCGAAAGTTTCTAATATAGCATCTCATCTTCGCGAATCAATAATCACGTCTCAGCATGTATTTTAATCGGGTTAAATTAGGGAGATTGGGGCGGCATATTTCTGGTCCAACTGCACTGTGACTTTTCAGTTTGGGTATGGACATTTGTGTGGCGCCTTAATGATGTTCAAGCGAGGAGTACTGAGAGAAAAAGGGCAAAGTTCTCAAACAAGTCTTACTTGGCCAAGAAAATAATTTTTTGAAAATTATCACAAAAGAATTTTTTTATGCCAAACGTGCAGAGAGTGCGCCGGAATGAAAAATTTTTGTTGCAAAAATAGATTTAGTAATTAAAAAAAAATTGCATTCTCTGTACACTGCAAGAGATGTCATTTCTAGCATTACTCCCTCGTTATTCGATACTCCCATACGTATTTTGCTTCCGAAAAATTATTGTTTTATGCGAAACAAGGGATAGTGGTTTTTCGTTTCGGCTGTCTAATAATCACAGACAAGAAATGAACCCTTAAATGAAACCATAATAATCATATGATAGTAATCGTGTAACTTAAGGATAAAATATTTGTTGATAAATTTTCCTCTGTATGAGATATTTTCATCCTGAAAAGGCACCGTCTGATGCGAATTATCCGCCTCTTGAGCCAAATATTTCGTTGCTGTCGAAAGCAGAACAATTATTCATGTTTGAGACTTTCAAATTCGAACCAAACAAATTCTTTTTTGACAATTTTCAACTAGCGATTTTGTTGGCCCAAACAAGATTTGTTTGATAATGTGTTTTTCTTTTTCTCTTAGTATAGGATATTCGAAAAATGCAGCCAATTTTATGAAACTTTTTTTCATATATGTTTTAATCTGTTAGGTACCCTTGCAGAATTTCAGAAACAATTTCGTTTGACCACTTCACTACTGAATTATTTTTCTCATCAAATTAGAAGTGTTATGGCGTACTTTTCCGGTGTCAAAAACAATAATTAACGAAAATGTTCATAGATAATGGAAGACTTGTGACTGCAGTGGTAAAAGTCGAATTTTGATCGGACAACATCGCACGCTTCGGCTAGTAATGGGGTTGTAACAGTGAGATGAATGTTTGTGTGTGTTATACGTGTTTATACTGCCAGCCAGACAAAAAATTAGGACTTTACTTCCATTTTCAGAGAAACTCGAAATTCCATTGGCTTTTTCCCCTTAAATCGAAGTCAAGGTGTTTTTCTGGAACATTCAACCAATTTTTTTTAACAGCGTATGTGAACTTGAATTTTAATTTGAATTTAATATAAATTTTGATTTTTTAATTTCTAACTTTTTATAATTTTTTATAAATTGCATAAACCCTGCTTTCAATAGCAAAAATACTTAAATAAAATGTGAAAATCCCTTCAAACAAAATAAATAATGTCAAATGTTGAAATCGACAATTTTATTAAATAAGTCAATGAGAAAAATTCAAGGTGAAAAACAGTGAATTTCGAAAGGAAAAATCTACAAAATTGAAATAATTTGAGTAACAAGAATGAACTCCCGTTGTGATGATTTCGGCTACTTGAGAGATGCAGAGGCCGCAATTATTCAATACATACCCTACCTGCGCGACGAGTTGTGATTGCCTTAGGTTAGTATCATAATAAAATCACGAGAAATAAATATCTTCCCCAGTCTGGTTGTTATTTCGATGGGAATGACTCTTGAATGCCTGATCAACGCAAATTGCACACTGTGAAACAGAATCTTCGAGGTCGTTTTCCAAATACGCAATACCACTGAGTAGTTCATCAAGTATGTTAGTATGATTCTACTCAAATTATCGTTAGACGACCTACGATAAGTGCTCTGGGAGAGATGAAGCTGAGATCAAGACGAACTACAGAAATATCTTTGTCTTAATAAGCTTGAGTTGGCGATTTTGAGGAAAAGTGAATTCATCTTCCTGTAGTTTTTATATAACAACATTGGTCGTAACAACTATTGGAAGAATTGAATTTCTGGTGTATTTTAATAAAAAATAAGACGGAGGGGATAAAATTTTCTGAGCAACGTCCAGGGGAAGACAGTGAGTCTCCAATGAGATAAAACTTTTTTTTAGTAGTGATTTTCTACTATGAAACATCACTGTTTTAAAAAATGCAGAAAGACTCCCTCAATCGAAAGCAGGAGTAAATCACAACTACATCGTAGATGCACGGAGAGAAAGTATTTTGAAAAAGTCGAGTGCGAATACTGAAAAAATCACCATTCTAAAATTTTTGGTGTTTAGATGATATTATTACTTAATTAAAAATGATGAGTGCGATAGAATTTATATATTGATTACCTTGAAATATAAAATTTATGTGAGTTATCGAAAGCGATGATTTTCTTTCACACAAAATTACGAGCTT